TCGTTTAACTATTATACTTGATGTACGTTGTTGTTTTTGTTTTTGTTTTTTTTTTTTTGTGGGGGGGGGGTAATGAAAGTGTTCCAAAACGCGACATTAATTTCTTGACGACCTAATAGTTATAAGATTAAAGCATGCGTTTGTGTATAAATACTGTCTTATGATGTGTTGTAGTACAATGGGATGTTAATTTAATAAGTTTTCTACTTTGAAAAAAGTTATGTGTGACGTTTTTAAGTGTATGTAAGTAACTTTTTATCTCTTAGTATTTCTGAATAGGCCTATTTTTGATATTTAATTAATATCATTATCCTGCAGACTACTGTAGTCTTTATAAAAATTACGGTGAATCTAAGCCTAGAGATTACTACACGACTGACACGATGTTACAAACAACTGTGAAGCGATGCGAAAAATAATAGATCCTGTACTTTTGATAAGCACCTTTCACAACCTACGTGAAACAACAATCGACGTTGGGGCGACCTGGGGACAACACTGGAGCGATGGGAAAAAAAGAACTGAATCCTCTTTTTTGCTATTCTTCGCGCAATAAGATGACAGCTGTAGTGCACATGGTCCACATAACTAAAGCAATATCATAAAGGCAAAATGAAAAGAAAAAAAGTTATACTTGAACTCAGAGATGTATGACAAAATCCGTCACAATTAGAAAGACAGCGAGCTAAGATAAATTATATGTGAGTCCTTTTCAAAGGAATTGGATTTACTTGGTATGTACGATATTTCCATAGCTGCAGGCCTACAGCTAAATCGGAAAAGGCTCTTCTGTGTCAGCCATTTTCAAGTTCCATCAACGACAGCGCACTCCATCAAGCTTCTGGCCGTTTTCCAAACTGTCGCATCGTAAGTGAATCCCTACTGATATGAATAGTAACTTTTCTGCGAGAATATAGTATCGCCTCAGGTAAAATGGCGTTGCGACCAGTGTGTAGACTCTTACCTTTCTAAACTATATCCTCGTGATCCCCATCAGTTTTATCCGAACAATAGTGCCCTGCTTTATTTAGCCTTAGGATATTATCGTGCAGTAGAGAATGATAATTAATTGTTCATTTCGTGTGTAAAGAGCGAGTCGAACCAAAAATAGTTGGTGAACATTAATTAACAAATCATAGAAATGAGTATGTGCACTCTCGTTTTTTATATTTCCTTGCTATAATATGTAACACTAACACGCACTTTAATTTATGTATACTACCCTTACTTTATTGTTCACACGTGCATGAAGCACCATATCTTAAATTACAGGAAGTTAGGCCTAAAAATAATTTTTCTAAGCGTAGTAATTTTTTGACTAGTAAATGTGGTTATATATATTTAAATCTAAAAGTATCTGTAAATTGGTAGGTAGCCTTAATGTTTTAAGACACGTTAGGTTGTCCAGTAATAACACTAGGTTTACTTGCAGCAATAACAAACAGTACTTTTTTCGTGTGAATAAACTCCGAAATGGTACTTAATATTAAACGTTTTATTTGTTAAATTTTACTAGTATAAAATACCCGCATCCTCTGCAATCCTTTGTGATTCAATAAGGCTCTAATGTATCAATCAATTTCCTTAGTTATCCTGGATCACTTTTAAAACTATCCGTCGGGGGTCCATTCCCGAACAACAACAAAACTGTTAGGAGTGTCGCCCGTGGTAACTAAATGCGTGTGCCAAGTTCAACTCTGCTAGCTTGTGGGTGGGGGTAAACAGTGGTGTAGGAAGGAGTTGCAAAGGTGGGGGGGGGGGGGTGCTTGGCTAGACATGCAGACTTTATAATAAGAGATTGAAAGTATAAGGAGCTGCTAAAAACAGTGGGGAATGGGGGGTATGCCTCTAGAAAATTAATATAATATTACAAATTACCGTTGCTCTGACGTCTCTGGGGGTAAGAAAACTATTTCAAACATGGTGATTTGGGGGACCCGATGGGTGTGTCAGAGTCACAAACTCTGATGCTAGATTCAAATTCGTTGACTCTGAAAACCTATCGTAAACCCCTATCATGCCTGGGTGACCTTCCGAAGGCATTTTGGGACTCCTTTGATACATCTTTGGTAAAAGGACTAGGTCATATTTTTAAGGATACCGCCGGGCCATCCTGAGTCCGCCTGCATAGTTTAGTTATGCTACCTCTATAACTGTGGGAGGAGTTAACTGATAAAACATACATATATATACAACGTTGCAAACTGAATTAACATACTAATAACGGCTGGA